TTGCTTTGCTTTCCTTGGGAGTATTACTAGCAGGAAGAGTGAACTGCCAGCATGTGAAGAATAATGTGCCAAGGCTCAAATTATCCTATAAAGGTAAGTGTGTTGTTCTCTCTTATTCTCGGTTTTCCTCAAAACCTCTCCTCCTTGCCCCGTCGCTCCCCACCACCCTCTCCACCTTCCTCTCTCGTTTTCCTTATCTTTCAGAGGGGAAATTTGCATTAGGGGGAAAAAAAAAAAAATCTGAAAAAGAAAAGACTTAAAAAGCCACTCCGTGCTGCGGTCGGTACCATGCAGTTTAAACACAGACAAAGAAGAGTTAGTTGCATTTGCAGACAAGGACTCCGGATCGTGCTGATCCCTGGAAGAGTATTTTTCGGTCTTGTGCTGTTTCATTGGAGTCCACTCTTTAAAACGATGAGACGTGTTTGGCCACCCAGCTAATCTCGCCCGTGCTGGGCATGTAGTGCAGCCACAATTCCAGACCTGTTTCAAACAGCACGGAATAGATGAAGATTTATATTTTCCTTTTTTTTAGGCATGAAGTGGTTAATTTTCAAGTCATGAATATTCAGTTTGTACAAATCTGACAATCAGATGCCTAACATAAGCAGTAGATGGTGGGTTTGCCAAGAAACTATAAACTGAAAGGAACAGATCAGTCCAGAAAAGGAGGAAAGGACTGTTATGCACTAGAAAATGCTGCCTATGGATGTTTAATGCAGTGCAATTTATTTGAACTGGGATTGGTTTTGGTGTAGTCTGATGTATTTCATTAGAGATCACAGGGAAGGTGTAACTGAAGAAAGAGAGCTGTGAGATTACGTTTATGTTTGAAATTGTGTAATGCCATTCACACTGCAATTGTCAGTAATTAACTTTTGTATAATATTGCCAGTATTAAATGAGGACTCTGAATCAGGCAGACTCTTTTCCTTAACAGCACAGTTCCTCTCTAAGTACATTTTCAGAAGAACTCTCCAAATCTGGAGGATGTGCAACTGCAAAGAAGTTTAATATGTAAGAGCTGTAGAGTATGATTTCTAGAAGGGAGCTCTATACATCTGTGTGTATGCATGTCTCTCTGAAGAGCTGCCTTCTCATAATTCTCAGATTATTGAAGGCTGAGAGAAGGACCAGCAGCTACAGTTCTGAGAGAAGGGAGGAAAAGTAACACACTGCTTCTACAGTGGACAAAAAAGAGAACATGTGTGTGCATGCCTGGTCATAGATGTCAATCCCAGTTTACAGTATAGTGTCAATACATCTCTTGCCAGTAGAAAAATGTTTTCCAATTATTTTCATCTTGCTGCTGCTGCAAATGAGAGGGGGGGAAGTCCTCTCTGACACAAGACAGACATCATTTTTGCGCTTAAGATGGGAAAAAAATAAATTAAACACCTGCAAAACTTGGATGTACTGTATGAAATAAATGCATGTGCAAGGTTTTATTAAAGAACACATATGTGCATATTTGTGTGTGTTTAAACTTGAAAAGATATGTATGAAAATAACACTGAGAGGTTCAGAATCTCTTCATTTGGTTTTCATAAGCAAAGTCATTTGTATTTAACACAAAATTATTATTTTGAATAAGAGAGCCTGAAGAAAGCTTCTACCATAACTACATGTGATGTCAAAAAACACATTAAAATCCTCTTAATGGCTTCCGAACTTTCACAATCACACTGAAACTCAGATTAGTATATAGATGCATAAATGCTATAAAAATATCCTGTAAAGGGGTTTAACAGCTAATTAATTATTGTTTATTATTTTTCACCCTTTTAAAGTTTATTGATGGCTCAAGCCTGCTTCCCCTCATACTGACTAAATTCACAGAAACTAATTTCAAAGGACAGCCAAATCTGGGTGATAGTGGCTTTCTTTTTTTTTTTCTGCTCTGTGGTGTGGTTGTTGTCCAGTTCTGCTCTTGCTGGAAGAAAAGGTCTCATTTTAATTTCTTAAATACATCAGACATGAGATTTTAATATACAGTCAATCTTGTAGGAGCAAAACAGGAAGCAGAAAGGAACACTGAAACTTGTTTTTATAATTGGCAGATCATTGTAAAAAGAAAATGACTTCTAGTGCTGAGCAACCCTGTTTCCTATGTAGCAAGGAAAGTAGATGCATAGTTAATTCAAAGCAAGTTGAAGTCTGAAGACTTACAGGAATTCACACGCTAGCCTTTGATTCACATGTATACTTAATCACATATTTGACTTAAAACATGTGTAACCCCAAAAATCAGATCAGGCTACTCCCAAGCTTGATGTTAAGTACCAGTGTAAATACTTGGCCAGGTCAAGAGGAGCGTGTTGCCTGTGCTGCTGCATTGATCCCTAAGGATGGGGATATCATTATTAGTCAGGGAAAACTAAGCCTTATCAGCTGGTGCTTTTCCAGACAAATTCTGCTTCCAGCACAGTGTTGTATGCACAGAGCAATGTTAACACCTTTCTTAGGAACAGCCTTAAGAGCTGTAGGTATTGAAAATATGTCTTTCAGGCATGGGCTGAATACCTTACATGCTAATGTGCATTTCTCAGGGTATTCCTCACTGCTATAAGACTCTATGATACTACCTGATTAATTTCTCTTCAGACTGCTTGCCTTTTGGAAGAGCTACCCAGTTACTTACCAATTCTGCCTCTTCCTGAGGAACTGTGGTTGAGTAAAATAAGCTTATGATATTAAAAAAAAACAACAATCATGCAGGGTGAAAAGAACGACCTGTGTGACTTGCCTTCTCACTGGCTGTCCTTGTGCTTTCTTTTAACGTGCATGCTTGTTTTTTACCTAAACAAATACCTTGGAGCTAATTGCTGGTGCTTTATTTCAAAAGAAAAGCAAGGATGTATTTTAACTTCTTGTTTTTCTCAACTAATTAGATGTCAAACATGGTTAAAAAGCTCAGGCATTTTCTTTAAATGTTAGCAAAATGAGTCATGAAGGGTTAAATCCCTGCCAACCTTGATTTCCTATGGTCACTTGTTTTCAAAGGTCCAATATTAGCTCTACCATTTCCCAGGTTGCTGGCCAGAAGTTTTGGTGAACTCCTATTCTTGCTTCCTCTTAACTTCTTGTCACTCAGTCTTGCAGAAGATTAGAAGCATCCTGTGGGGCATGTTACTGATAGGAAGAGGAAGGGAAAGTGTATAAATGCATATATTAAGGTCACATCTGTGGTCTGAAAAGGTTCTTTTTGTTTATTGTAAAACAGGGGTCTGGTTATTTGGTTTATGTCACCTTGATTTTGGTGGCATATGAAAGAAAAGAAATTTGATGAGAACACTTGGGAAATCCTTGTCCAGCTGAGAGCTGTGATGAAGCTCCTGTTCGATAACATCAGGGTTTTGCTCCAGACATTTTAAAGTTTTCAGGTATCTTTGTTCTAGTGTGTGAATTGGAAAGGTTTGGCACAGATTCTATTTGTCTACTTATTTCAGTCGGAGGGAATTAATATGATTAAAGCCCTGATACAAAGTTCATTGAGTCACTAAGTTCTGGATCACAGTCTAAATGTGGTAAAACCAACTATAAAATGAAAAGCTTAAGTTGAGCCTTCAGCCTCTGAGCTCCTCTTTTTGTGTCATTCAAAGTCTTTGTGCCCTTACTGTAGAAGTAACAAGAAATGACATTGTTGATATGTCAAAAGTGAAGGGATCTTTTCTTAAAGAATGTAGGGGACTTCGTTGTTTGATTATTGGTTTTTGGTTGGCTTGTGTTTTTTTAATCTCATTGGCTTCAGTTTCGGTGTTGGTTGTAACTCTCTGTATTGTGTCACTGGGTCACAGATTCAGGGAACTTCTATTGAAAAGAGTTCTCAGGAAGATGGTGATGAAGTTGAGTGTGCAAAGTTTAAAACAATAAATATAGCCTTAATTCCAGATGGATTTCTTGTATCATTTATTGTTTCCTATTTTCATTTGTTGATCTCTGTGTGGGAAGGTAACAGCACAAACAGAGATACAACCAGCTGTGGTAACCTTCAATTATAAACACATAAGTCCAAAGAAGGAGAGAGTTTCCATTAATGATTCCTTGATTTACAGATTTTTCCTAAGGCAACCTCGATTTTTGTCTCCACATGAATAAATCTTGTGAACCCAACTTTCTCAAATCCATCTGTCGCGTCCTATTTGTCTACTGAAAATTACTAAATGCTGTAAGTATGTTTTGTAAGAGTACATGTGTGGTTCTCCTTTGTTATTGTTGCTCAATTGGATACATATTACTCGAGAATAAGTAACTGGAAAAGGATTGCGCACAGATTTAGCTGCATTACTCCCTGGCTCCAATTCAAACCATATTAAAAAGAAGTGTCGTGTTTAAAGTTGCAGTGATAGTGAGAACTACCCCATGTGTGATATGCTGTTGATTTACAGTTTATAGGATGGATTTTTATATGGATGAAATCCTGGCCCTAGTGAAAACAACGGCAAAACTTCTGTCCATTAAAATCTGTCCAGCATTCCGTGACATGGGAGGAATGACACCACGCTGAATTACCTGAATGTACACTGGTGTAAATATGATACCTGGTTTGTAGTTTGTTGACCCAGTCTGGTTGTAGTTGATGACCTGTCAGTGGGTTTGATTGTGGTTTTTCCTTTCCATCAAACTCTATAATTCACAATTCAATACCTCCACAAATATTGGGAAAGCAGGACAAAGTTGAAGAAGGAAATGGGGAGAGAAATATTGGCATGGGAGCCTGTCTTTCTTGAGTTGGGACCAGTACTGGAGTTTGTCTCAGATTTCAAGGTATCTGCTTAGAAAAACTCTTTTGCTTAAATTATGTTGTAAGAGTACTGTCTGAGGTAAAAGCCTCTCTAATGTGCCTGAAAAGCAGAAAAGGGCAGCCCAGACTTAGGAGGAAATCTGTGAGAGAAGGCAAACCAGAAAGGTTTGTAGGCTAGGCACAGGTTTGTAGCACTTTTCAGCTTCCACCATTCCTGACAGCATTTCTGCCTGGCTCTGGCCTTCTCAGGCCTCACGGTGAAGTCAGTGCAGGAGGCTTGGAGACAGTGAAGATACCAGATGAAGCCACAGCCTCTTCAGCCTTTTGGTTTTTTTTGCCCCACAGTTGT